TGATGGATGTCTAAAATATAAAAATAAGGAAAAGCCTAAAACAGGCCCGATTATAATTTGCGTTTTATTTTATAATTCGGTAAAATTTAAAAACAGCTTTAATATATATACATCGAAGTCCTAGAATCCGTTAATGCAGCGCTGAAGAAGGTCACGGATTTTACAGATGCGCTGTCTTCCGAGAAGACAGTTACAGCGTCCTCTGTTAAACCAGTCCTACGGTTATTATCTGAGGATATTTTGCTCCCAACCGAGGAAGACACGGAGTTGACGCGCAACCTAAAAAGAAAAATGGTTAGCGTCATGGAAGACAAATATAGTGCACCTGCAACACAGCAACTGTTGGCAAAGGCCACATTAATTGATCCAAGATACAGGGACATCAACCCCGGAGATGACGTTAAAGATGCGCTCCTGGAGGAGATGCTGGCAATGCCCGATGAGCGGAGTGATGGCGGGGATGGAGAAGGTGCCATGCGTACCTCGGCGGCTGGAGAGGGAGAAGAAGGAAGTGCACCATCTCCTCCAGAAAAAAAATTGAATCTTGCAGACCTGCTTGTAAAGAGAAAAGCACAGTCCTCCAATCCGGTCCCAAAAAGAATCCCTGCAGACTCTGAAGTCGCAAGTTATTTGCAGGAAATTATTGTTCACATAATTTGCTGTTTTAATAATAAAGAAGACTGCTTTATTATTATTCATTTCCATGTTCATTTACAAGCTACATGCGTTCTTAAATCATTATATTTCCGCGGCGGGAAAGGGAGGGGGAGGGGGGTTGCGATTAACCGCCAAACCGCGGTGATCTCAATTGATGTCTGCAGCAAGTGCCTAATGAACGCAGGTTGATTTTATTTTCACTTTTCGGTAATAAAAGCTACACCACGGAGGTAGCTTGCGAAGGGCTACTTAAGTCATGTAATCTATGTCATGTAACCAATGTCTTAAGTCATGTAACCAAAGTCTGGTTTGGTTCAGCTACAAAATCAGACATCAGAAGACTACAGAGAACGGTTCGGACTGCTGAAAGGATTATTGGTGCCCCCCTGCCTACCCTCCAAGAACTGTATACATCCAGAGTGAGGAAAAGGGCTCAGAAAATCACTCTGGATCCATCACATCCAAGCCATCTCCTTTTTGAACTTTTGCCATCTGGTCGGCGTTACAGAGCACCGAATACCAGGACAGCCAGGCACAAGAGCAGTTTCTTTCCCCAGGCAATCTACCTCATGAACAGTTAATGTTCTCCCATTTTGCAGTTAAAGTACAGTATGTGCAATAACCTTATACTTATTTATCACCCTAAACCCTAGTACATCCCTACAACTTATTTTATTGTATTCTATTCCTATTCTATCTATAGCACACCTGTACATACAATTTATTCTTTTTTTGTGGTTTATATTTATGCATGTGTATTTTATTCACATCTCATTTTTATGATCTGTGTGTTGTTGTTGTCTCCGTGTACTGGAAGCTTGTGACATTATAACAAATTCCTTGTATGTGCAAAAATACTTGGCAATAAAGCTCTTTCTGATTCTGATTCTGATTCTCTATGAGTTAAAAGGCCCGTTCACACCACGGACGATAGCTATGAAGATAACAATAAATATATAGTTCTAAAAATCGTTCGGTAGAATAGCAAGAAAGAATAGCAGAGTCCACACCACAGCTATAACGATAAAGACAAAGAGAAACGATATCAAAAACATTCAAAACGATTTTTCTCCAGCTGATTAACGATAAAAAAAAAATTGACAGCCAATCAGAATCCATCCTGCTGTAACGAGCTCGAGAATTTAAAGCGGCAGACGCACGTGCGCTTAGAATAACGATATTATCGCTAATATCGCTATCTTTATAGTTATCGTTCTTGGTGTGAACGGGGCTAAAGACTTTCTGCTCTGATTTAAGACTTTTTTCATGTCTTAAAAAGTGTGGAAGGGTGAATCAAGACTTTAAGACCTTTTTAAGACCAGCAGAAACCCTGAATATTTACACTGCTCCAAAAGCAGGTTATGTTGAGAGAATAATAGCTACTTACATAACCTGAAAATTACTCATGCGGTTGAACTGATATCTTTGACCATATGCCACCCAGTACAACAACAGTATATAACTTAACTATTACAATTACATAGCTACGCTTTGGAAGATTAATCATATATAGACTTATATGAATATTAGAGTGTAAATCAACTCACTCTGGTCATCTATACCGTCTCGCAGCGGGACATTCAGGCAGTAGTAGCGGCCGCTCTCAGCTCCCACCTCATACATATCACCTTCATATCAACACACAACAGCACCACTTACTATCATTACTATTATTACCATGCTTTATCAATAGTCTGTACGTAAGCTCCTTTTTTTAAAAATGTATGTATTATTAGTATGTACTAGTACTAGTTTTTTGCTTGTTTGTTTTTCCAGACAGTAGGAACAACATACCAGTTCCTGGGAAAAAGTAGTTCCCGTATTTGTGGAAGGATACAGTCATGACTCTGTCTGTGAGATAAAACGCTTCCTGAACACCATCACCGTGATGAATATCAATGTCAATGTAGAGCACGCGTGGATGATACCTATCAGACACAAACAGTAGAGATAAACATTGTAGTCAACATGTCCTGCTAATTATATAACTATGGATGTAGGTTTAATGAGGTCATATTAAAAGAACGGAATTTCTGCACCACTAGCATCACCAAACAAAATTGCAAAAATAAAGTTAGTTTTTATTCATTCATTCATCAACTACTTAAGTTCATTCCAAAAAAGCTAAAATGCGATTAAAATACATTCATAGATGCGTTCATATATATGACCCTGGAGCACAAAAGCAGTCTTAAGTCGCTGGGGTATATTTGTAGCAATAGCCAAAACTACTTGATTATTGATATTTCTTTTATGCCAAAAATCATTAGGATATTAAGTAAAGATCATGTTCCATGAAGATATTTTGTAAATGTCCTACCGTAAATATATCAAAACTTAATTTTTGATTAGTAATATGCATTGCTAAGAACTTCATTTGGACAACTTTAAAGATGATTTTCTCAATATTTAGATTTTTTTGCACCCTCAGATTCCAGATTTTCAAATAGTTGCATCTCGGCCAAATATTGTCCGATCCTAACAAACCATACATCAATGGAAAGATTATTTATTCTTATTTATCTTACTTATTTATTCAGCTTTCAGATGATGTATAAATCTCAATTTAAAAAAAAATGACCCTTATGAGTGGTTTTGAGGTCACATATCTCAGTATCATTCTGAATGCTGCATTTCAGAATAAGACATCAGAAGTATCTACAGCTATTTGGTGTGATGTCACTTCCTCTCCATCTCTCACTTACTTCAGAAGTTCAAGAATACTGATGACAATGTCATTCACGTAGCAAAACCCAGATGCCTGAAAATAGGAAAAAAGGTAATATAGAGGCTTTATAGGAACATGATTTGCTTGCTAAAGTGCAGGTAATGGTATTACACAATCTTTGCATTGATCCGTGAAAATAAATGCTCACCTCAAACTTTTTTGCATGATGTAAACCTCCAGCCCAGTTTATGGCAATGTCACATATCTATGCAATGAACAACTGAATTATCAAAAACAATGCAGGAATTCATTCAGAATTCAAAATCTATACCAAGCGTGAAAATTTGGTATTTCATTTTTTAGTTATACACCTTATTTTTACAGTTAAAAATAGTCCTCATCTTACATTTCAAATACAACCCCGAATCAGAAAAAGTTGGATGTGTGACTGAATCTGTGATTTGTTAATTATCTTTCACCTTTATTTAATTGAAAACAGAAAAGATTTCCAATATTTTCACTGATCAAATAAAGAGCATTCTGTAAATATAAACACATTTTGATTTTGATGGCTGCAACACACTCCAAAAACGTTTGGACAGAGGCACGTTTAACACTGCATCACATCACCTTTCCTTTCAATTACAATGTTTAATGGTTTGGGAATTGAGGATACTAACACCGTGTCCTAACCAGACAGAATCACTTGAATATCACAGCCATTCAGAAGCACAGAAGCACACTGCACTCCCAACGAAATGGACAACTTTAGCACCTAATCATCTAATATTAAACCTGTTTAACATTATTACAGTAAATACTGAGTGACTGATACCACCTTAGTTTATTTTCAAGATCTGAGGTAAACTATCTATTGCTGCTTTCAGAATGGCTATAAAGGTCACGCAACATGATATTTAAACTCACATTAGACACTTTTAACATTGAATAAATCACATGTACGGTAGTTGCTGAAAGACCTAAATTCTTTGCGATTTCGCTTTGAGAAATGTGATTTTTGATTTGTTTGACACTTCTCTCAGGAAATTTGGCACAGAATGATGAGCGATGATCCAGCTTTGCTTGCAACGACTGAGATGCTCCTTTTATGACACCCTCACCTATTACTAATTCACCTGCTTCAACACAGTTTAACGTGGATATTCTATAACCTTTTCACCTTTATTTTGCCTCCGTCCTGACTTTTTTGGAGCGTGCTGCAGCCATCAAAATTTGCTTAAATTTACTAAATACATTTTTAAAACATTAGACATATTTACTTTGTACTTCTATCAATTAAATAAAAGTTCAAGAGAATGAACAAAAACACAGATTCTTGATTTCATTGCATTTTACAAAACGAACCGACATTTTCTGATTTGGGGTCGTATCAAATGCATTATATTCAGGAAGCAAAAAACACTTTTTAGGTTCACAATTGTAAACTTTCTGGTTTTGTACAATGCATGTGTGAAAGCAACATTTCCAGCATCTGACCTTGTGATTTAACTGAGTCGCTCCTTGCAAAGACGCACCTGTGTATCTCGAGCAAAACTCAAACAGACCTGGAAAGACAGGACTGAGAACAAAAAAAATTGACCCATAATTATTAGAAAACCCCGATTTAATTCAACATTTAAAAGCATAAAAGCATGAAATTTGCTACTTACTTTCATTAGCGTTCATAAAAACTTTACTTGAAATCTCATGCCAACATTTTAACGAAGACCTTGACAACAAGAATGAATTTGACGAGTAAGGGAAACTCACCAGTCGTCTCCCACGTTGAAGGCGTTGAGGCTCTTGGTGAAGCCCTGCATGTTGTTCGGACTGACCTTCTGCAGGAAGTCGATGTAATCCTCCGAGTGGAAGCGGCACATGTCGTGCTGCGACGCCTTGTACGGCTTGAAAACCTGCACAGAGAGCTCTGCTCATCAGGACCTGGGGTCAGTGAAGTGACTGGACTAACAGACCGAGCATACCATCATCTTCTTGTAGAGCCCATAATGCAGCACAAGACTGTGTGTGAGAGACAGCCGGTGAGGCTTCATCGGGTGCCCAGCACCTGGAGTAGACAAAAAAACAACATAAAACCTTATGTTCTGTCCCCAATATCACACTGATAGCTAATGATGCTGCGGTTGTCTATTACAGTTTGTTTTACTGTGGTCAAATTCTGTGATTAAGATCATACAGTTATTAAATCTCACATGGGGTGCCTCGTTACACACAAAATATTACATGTCCTACTAGACACAAAAGGTTTAAAACAGGATACTGAGTGCTCAATATTGCTACTCTTAACATTAAATACAAGACTTATATTGATGAAAGTCCTCCTCGGCTATGTTTATTTACACTGTAACAATAACCTCCCGAATTAGAATTTTTTTTTCCTCCAATAACAACTAAATGAACACAAAAAACATTTGATTTTTTTGTTTTTAAACTAGCATTTCCGAAAATGTTGACATATTTAAAGAGAATTCGACGGAGTAGTTCTGAACGAGTCTGTCTCAGAAGCTGCTCCTTTATACATTAGTCGTATATAACGGTAGGTGTATTATATGAAGTGAAATGCAGAATAAAAGAGTTTTGTTTCCTGCTGTGGTCATCTCTAAACATGTAAACACTGAGGATCTGGAGGGAAGTCACTGGTTAGCCGCATATGCTAACAGACACAGCTCAGTCTTACCGTAGTGGAAGTTTCCCACGTCTGGGTCGTAGAAATACGCCGTTCGGTTCGACATTTCGTCGCAGTCTGAATAAAAAGGGTTGTTTCTGACACAATGAGAGAAAAGGGTTTCTATATATTTACTCTCTGCACCTCACTGTCGCCATCTTCACTACAGAACCGGAAGAACTCAGTCGCTCTTCTTCGTGGCTGCTGCTGCAGCTGCTGTGGAGAGTTTCCGGTACATAGCGCCACCTTTGTGCATTAAAATCCCCACACCATATTACTATACCTTTTTCTTTACCATAGCGCCACCTGACCACTACTACAGCTAATACACGTTGTTTGGAGCATACAAATAAATATTTTAAAACGTTTAATTATTATTATTATTATTATTATTATTATTAAAAACACATGAATTGAATTACCCAGGACTGCCAAAAAGATTTCAATAAATTAAGCTTTGCTACTTCAAAAGTGTTTTGAAACGTTTTACAATTTCAATGGTTCGCTGTCTGGTGTAAGTTCGCATGATTTTGTGTATTGTTTATATTTTAAATTGGGCTGTCAAGCCAATGAATCTTTTAATTAATTACATCACGTGGCAATTAATTAAAGATCATTTAAAGTCATTATTGTGTTAAATTAGAAAAGCACGGAATAGACATTACAAAAAAAAAAGCCTTTTTTGATTTAACATACAAAACAACAACAACAATTAAATATTGAAATATTACATTATTTTGAAAAAAGAAAGAAACGACACTCCAAATATGACACTAAAAGCGCCAGTAGGTGGCGGCAAATCGTTGTCTTAATGAGTGAGTAATTCAACCGATTCGTTCAAACAGCTGATTCGTTCAGAAACGAAGCAAGTGATTCGCTTTATGAATGGGTCACTGAATCATTGGCTCAACCGATTCGTTCAAAAGCGTAGACTCATTCAGAAACGATTCACTGGCGTGTTTTTGATGATTAGAGACGCACAACAGCTCTGCTAGGGCTTTATGGGTAACTTTTTCGTTGGCGAAGCTGCACAAAAACAGACAATATTGTGTCTAAAATGTAACAACATTAACATATTGTTTAAATCAATATCGCATTATACGGGGAACAAAAATCCGCTCTCCTGCTGGTGTCGTGTGATAGCAACCCTACCCCGTAATTCGCACAAAAACCCTGGTTGTAGACATTTTTAATGAAACATTTGTATAATAAAAACAGTTGTAGTAGAGTTAAAAGTCTCTTATTGGCCCGACTAACCAAACTCTCCATACATAAAACAAGCCCTACAAATGAGTAAAACAACAGCATACAGACACTTCACATTTATTGGCATTAGATGATTTGTTAATTGCATTTAATAGATTGCACTTTAAATAAATCCTGTGCAATTTGTCTGTAGTTTTTGTTGCATTTACACCGTTCTGACCAGCAGCGTGTGGCATTCTGAGCTCTTTTGCGATCATTTTGTGAAGCAATTGATTCAAAGTTTTGAAAAGCGTTTCTTCTTCCATCACTTCCTGCAGCCGGATCCCAGACGTGCCGACGTATAAACCTGCTTAAATATAATCCTAATCAGTGCATTTCATGCTTCCAGTTGTAATAAAAACGAGAAGACGCAATCGTGTGTTGACTTAGTGGCATTTATTTGATAGCACTGGACCCGGCCAAGGCAGTCTGATATGACATATGCTGTAGAAAATGACCCGTGGGATCCAACAGTTGTTTTTTCGTTTCCACAGGCACTATGTGGCATGTGTGAGTAAGCATTTATAGTCTCATCTGATCCGTGTCCTCCTCCTCCTCTGATACAGAGGACTGTTTCTGGATGGTGGGCATCTCTGCGCCAGACTCGCTGTGGTTTTCCAGGCCCAGGTCCCAGTCCTCATTCACTTTCTGAGGTAGACTGGCTAACAGCTCCTGACAACAGACAAACGCACCGATTACGATCTGATTTCTTCCACTGCTCGTCTAAAAGTTTCATCCGTTTATGTTTCCTCACCCGCTGTTTCTTTCGGTCTTTGTTTTTCACAGCGATCAGCAGGCTTCTGGTGAAGCTCTTCAGCTTTGAGAACTTCTGTTTCTGGCTCCGCAGCTCATTCTCAAGGAACTGCACTTCTTCATTCTGAGGGAACAAATCACCCTTATTTATTAGCAATCAAAAAATACATATATTAAGTCAAATTATATGTAGTGTAGTACTGTATGAAGATTGTGTGCACACAGCTGCATCTCTCATGTGCAGACGAGTGTATATCGTGAATAGATGAAATGATGAAATCACTTTATATTACCCTCACTATTTTCAGTCATGGAAGTACAGCTCCCATGAAAATGATTGGAGAAACACTGCAATCTCAAAAGCTACTTGCAAGACTTGCATTTCAATAACATTTTTCAAATCCACAATAAAAGCTGACTGGTATATAAAACGTTTCTTACTCTCAGATAACACTAAAATGTATATATTTCACACACGTTAGGTCATTCACAAGCTCATTTAAGGGCTGTTTTAAAATAACTAAATATAGAGGGTAACACTTGAGATTACGGAACACGTATTCACTATTAATTACAAATTTTCCCCCAATAAACTCTTAAATTACTGCATATTGATAGTAAGGTGGATGTTGTTGTAGTACTTATGTTTGGCCGATAATCAGTTTTACCGATATTTTCCCCCCGATATGTAAACAATCTTCCATTATCGGATATCGGTTTTATAATATCTTTGTCATGAGTCTGGGCCCTGCGTTTCTCCCTCTCTCCTACAGAGGGCGCCATCTCCCGGACTCCATTCCCCAAACCCCATACACCTTTTCACTCATTACACTAATTCCCCAAACTCCATACACCTGTTCAGTCATTACACTAATTCCCCAAACTCCATACACCTGTTCAGTCATTACACTAATTCCCCAAACTCCATACACCTGTTCAGTCATTACACTAATTCCCCAAACTCCATACACCTGTTCACTCATTACAC